CCTATCTATCCTATCTATCCTATCTATCCTATCTACCCTGTCTATCCTATCTATCCTATCTATCCTATCTATCCTATCTATCCTATCTATCCTATCTATTCTATCCACCTATCTATCTATCTATCTATCTATCCTATCTATCTAATCTATCTATCTATCTTTCTTTCTATCTATCTTTCTATCTATCTATCTTTCTTTCTTTCTTTCTTATCTATCTATCTATATACAGGTTTCCTGAATGGGATCGTCACCGTGGGTTCAATACTGTATAAATAAATATGGGCAAATGTTTGGATGATTTGGGGTATCCCATGGCCGGCTCTAGGCATCCGCGACTGGGGTGTGGCCATGGCAGTGACTCTGGGGTGCACGGAATTTCTGTTGACTGGACCGACGGCTTCTAAGGCGGCATCGAAGAGAGCCCCGTGGTTCATGGGGCAACCGGTAGACATACAAAAAGCTACTGAAAATGGCCATTTATAGTGGATTTTCCCATGAAAAATGGTGATTTCCCATCGTTATGTAAACGTTTACCGGAGGGTAGCATCTGAGTCCATGACAAGCTGGTATTCCTGGTCGTTACTGGCTGTGTCAGCCAAGTCTAAATACTTTCCCGGCACCTGATTTTCTTATTATTGTGTTATGCCCTCCTCTAATTAACAAGACCCTAAAAATAATCAAGTTCAGTGGAAACGAATCTTTCACCCCTTTAGTTGGCGGGGTCTATTCTAATGTACAAGAGGCTAATGGAGGATATTTGCTAAGATCAGATTGGCCACATGTTGTAGAGAAAGTAGGTCCCTGACCGGGTAATGCTTAGTGGAAAGGCTGGTTTTGTTGCAGGTGTTGTCATTTCCCCTATACTTGTATAGCATATAACTGCTATCTAGTTAGTCCACGTTAGCCCACATTTCCGGGAATCCATTGAAAATAATGTTTCGAGTAAACAGAAGTGGGAAAAAACTGTCATCCATAATTAGGATAGGTGTCTTATTGAAATCCCTCACCTCAAGTGACATAAACGGCCTATCATTCAGCCGGTTGGAATGTGTCGTATGCGCCGGATAATGGGAATATGAGAACGCATTTGTAACCTACTGGGTTCATGTCGTTTCTTGTCTCGTCTCCCCTGAAGTTGTCTCAGGTCGGTGTGCTGTGGGGAGGTGTGTATAAAAGATATATATGATATTATTATTCCCTTGGATCATTGCTTATTGTAAGACCACAAAACGCATAGGCACGCGAAATTTCACCAACATGAACCTACCATTTGTAGTCATAAACCTTCTTATTGTTTGTTTGTCCGTTGCAGGGCACACAACGCAGGGGTACACTGGGTCAGGGATGCTTTGCACGACTTATTTGGCACTAGGTGTGTGCCATTGGGAAACAGATAATTAAACTACTGGGTCGATGTTGTAACAAATGCCGATGACAAGATCTTGTGCCAAATCGTGGTGTGCCTATGGGGAAAGGCCCACATGGGCAGCGCCTATGACTTCAACTTACTGATGTATTTTTTGGCACTTCGCATAGGCACACGATGCTTACCTATCATATCTTTGTGGGTTTACCCAGTATACTCGTGGCAATTGTATACTTTTCCTGGATTTAGGTTGGCAGACAATTTGTAGGAAGTCGTTGCAGTCGTGGCGTTTAGGTGGTGATTTGTGAGTGTTGAAATTGGCAACACGTTTAATACGTAAAAAATGTGTTTGAGTTGTGTTTTGCTTCAGTTTGGGGCTCAAATATAGACGATCGAACATTGACCTGCTGCCCCATGCCTGGTGCTTCCTCTGCCCATGGCTTTGCTTTCTCTTCCCCAGACAGTTTTAGCCTTTAGATGCCTTTAGATATCTTTGGCTATCACTGGATTCCCACGTCTCAACCATTCTGCCCGCTCAAATTTCTCACCGCTTTCTTAGCCCAGCCCGGAGAGGTTTGGAAAGGCTTTACAATGGTCTGCTGCTTGGTTTGCTGCTGCTGCTGTTGTTGCTTGTGCTGCTGCTTCTCTGCCCGCTCAAATTTCTCACCGCCGCCTTAGCCCAGCCCGGAGAGGTTTGGAAAGGCTTTACAATGGTCTGCTGCTTGGTTTGCTGCTGCTGCTGTTGTTGCTTGTGCTGCTGCTTCTGGGCAAGGCGCGGTTTTTGGGCAGAGAACCAAGAGATTTGTGAAAGGGCTGGAAGCTGCGCGGAAGAAACCAAAAGCATAAGAAGATGACCTGAAAAAAAGAAAGTCCATCCGATCAGCGGTGTGCCATGGGGAAGTGGATGAAAGGGTTGATTGGCATGAAGTAGAATTTACCATAGAAACCATAGGAATGCAACGTCGATCACATCCAAGTTTGTATGTTGGAAATGCCATGAGACTTGGTGTGCCGTGTGGAGGATGATTGTTCTGACTGTTCAAGCAGGCGGAAGATCCATGTCCATAGTCATGACAAGAAAACGGGGCCTGTGCTGCAGAATTGGTTACTTTTCTCATTCGGATGGAAGGCAGCTGTTTTGCTGTCAATGCGTGTGTGCCAATGGCGGTTGCCCACTTTCAACATGGTTTTATCACCAAAGGAGATGGTATTAAATATGTGGTTCGCAGTGGTACGGACACATTTTCCATATTTTGTTTGCCAAACCAACGATGGTGTGGTACTAGTGTGCCAATCGGATTTGGTCCCTGGGGTAACTCCCGGATGGCCTGGGGTAACCCTGTGTGCCATTGGGATGGGGTAACTTCTGGGTGCCTGGGGTAAGAAACAACGTCCGCCCAGTAAGTGATACAACCTCTGTACACATGGTTGAGCCTTGGTGAATGGTGACCTCAGTAATTGTTCAGCCCCAAAAGTGGATAATGGACGAATGTATACTAATTGAATCTAATTTATACAGTATAAAATATGTATTGCATCATCGTCTAACATGTCTAAAGCGACGGCCAGAGTTCGCCATGCAACCCTTTGTGTCCAACCACTCTGCAATCCGAATCACCACTTTCGCCATAGGTGGATACTGGAAGCAGCTTCAAAGGCTTTCTATACTTGGCTGGCTTCCTTCTCTTAGATCCTCGGGCTTTCCTGAAGGTTCTTTCAATTATTATTGTTACATTTTTTTAAGTGATTGAGTGGAACAGCCTTTCGAATATTTTTGTTGGAAACCTTAGGGTGTACGCATTGTACGAAGCATATCGGATTGTGAGTCAAAATGTAAGACGCCCAAAAAAACACAGTTTTTGGATGGGTTTGTTTTTTTAGTAAACCATTAATTCTTGTGATACCCAATTTGTAACCCGGACTCCGTCGGTGTTTTTTTCCCCGGCGATATGCCTTTCTCCAACCAGGATGGATTGACCTCAACTTTCCAAGAGAAGTTGTTTAGGGAGCACAATACCACCAAATACAACCAGATGATGTACATCAACTTGCTGTCCGCTTGCGTCTCTGCGGTGACCTTGATGTGCACAGGGCACATGCTACCGGCCATCACTTTTGGTATTGAACACCCAAGATTCTTCGTCGATAGTGCCTGGGTTTTACCTGGGTTTGGGATCCTCGCAAGTTCAAAAGTCTCCTGGTCCCCGATTTGCAGAGAACCTCGAAGCCAAGGAACACAACTATCTATGGTAACTATGGTTGCACCCAAAACATTTTGTCGATTTGCTGTCCTTTCAGGGGAGGATCACCCACCAAGCCAGCTTGATCCCAATTTTTGTTCCTCATTTGCATGTTTTTTTCTTATTTGGTTGCTGCTATCCAGTTGAGCCTCCGCTCGATTTTTCTTGGGTCAATTGGTGAATGACCCTTGGCCTTTCTGTGCTTTCTACCTGCCCCCGAGTTCGCGTTGGTTTAGGAAGTTGATAGCATAATGGTTCAATCGTTTTTTTCCCCACCTGCCAGGTGAGGGTTGTTAGATTTTATGTCAGTTGCCTGGCCCTCCTCCTCCTCCTCTCCTCTCCTCCTCCTCTCGTTGTCCTCCTCCTCTCGTTGTCCTCCTCCTCTCGTTGTCCTCCTCGTCCTCCTGCTCAACTGCGACCCGCGATCCACAGTGTTCTCTGCCGGACCTCAACCACGACCATCCACGTCAGTGCGCCCTGCCGGACCTCAACCATGACCATCCACGCCCAGTGTTCCCTGCCGGACCTCAACCACGACCATCCACGCCCAGTGTTCCCTGCCGGACCTCAACCGCGAGTATCCACGCCAAGTGTTCCCTGCCGGCCCTCATGTAGGAAGATAAAATGTCAGATAGAGTGCCAGAAGATTTGCCAGGTAGAATGCCAGAAAATATGCCAGAAGATATGCCAGATAGAATGCCAGAAGATATGCCAGATAGAATGCCAGAAAATATGCCAGAAGATATGCCAGATAGATATGCCAGAAGATATGCCAGAAGATATGCCAGAAGATATGCCAGAAGATATGTCAGAATATATTCCAGAAGATATGTCAGATAGAATGCCAGAAGATATGTCAGAATATATGCCAGAAGATATGCCAGATAGAATGCCAGATTGAATGCCAGAAGATATGTCAGATAGAATGCCAGAAGATATGCCAGATAGAATGCCAGAAGATATGTCAGAATATATGCCAGAAGATATGCCAGATAGAATGCCAGAAGATTTGCCAGATAGAATGCCAGAAGATATGTGAGATAGAATGCCAGAAGATTTGCCAGTAAGAAAATGTAAAAATGTCACGGTGGGGATCACACGAAGTAAAGTAATTGCCGTAATGTGACAAAAATTGGATCCCAAACTTCATATGAATCTTTGAATTTGGATAAATAATTACTATTGAATACTACCGATAAAGTTTGATAAGTCTATACGTTCCAGTTGTCAAGTCTTGTTTTCCCTTCAGGGCGTCTCCGGTTCATTCAACCCTTCGAGTCCCTATCGCCACGCTTCGCAACTTAGCACTGCTTTGCTCCAGGTGCCTTTTTGAGCGGTGCAGCAGTGGCCAGCCAGTGGTGCATCTACTCCCAGATCAAGGAGTTTGGTGCTTTGGTCTTCGCAGCCACGATGAATGTGCGACAGGCTCTAAGGGGGATGGAAGCATTTGAAAAAACTGGGGATATTGAACGAAACTGATATAAGGTCCAAGAATTCGTCAAAAGGACAACATCGACTATCTTGGGAAGGGGACGTTTTCTGATTTGTTCAAGGCGTTGCGCAGCACTTTTTGACGGTTTATGGCTAATGACTACTAAAATGGCGACTGCAACGAACTTCTGAGGAGCCTTTGTCTGTTGATGGCTGTAGGGGCTGTAGCCATTATTGCTTGGCAGATTCCTTGGCGCTGCTCAGCGATGATCACAGATTCTTATGGTCCCAAAAGTGTGGGATCACCATGGAATGTTCCAAGGACTTGGCCACAAATTGTTGATTGACGAATGGATACGAATGGTACTTCAATGTATTCTCCCGTTGATTCTGCAATGATGGTAGCCTGGTAGCCTGGTAGCCTCTTGGTGGATGTGTTGCTCAATTGACTCATCTGTATTGAGGATTTGTCACTGAACAGTTTTGATGAGATTCCCATGAACCATCATGAACCATCATATAGGCCTAAATCCGCCAAGAATCTGCGATCTTTTGGTAGGACTCCGTAGGACTCCAGACTTTTAAGCAGCTCAAGTCGCATCGCAGGTGGTCTCCATTTTGGTGTCTTATCTGAAGTACCACAACCCTGTGACTGGTTTCCAGATCATTGGCTTTGTGGCCATTTTCTCTGCCCTCTTCTACAAATCTCTTGCATCAATTCTGGACAGCGACTTGGACTTGGACTATTGCTCTTAAATAACCTGGTTGGTGGTTTCAAACATTTGGATGATTTTCCATATATGGGACAATCCCAACCCCATTGACGAACTCCATAATTTTTCAGAGGGGTAGGGCTCAACCACCAAACAGTAACACATTTGAATTAGCTCATCCACCGTGACTCCACCGGGGCAAAAAAATCGCACCAGTCCAAGGCAAAAACCCTGAGAAGAAGCCACTTCTGATTGGAGAGAAGAAAATCATGGAGGACATCGAAAAGAAGTGAACTACCCCAACTGGCAATGCACGCAATGCGAGCTGGTCATGGCCCTTTTTTTGATCCATTTGGCGCTAGTGCAATTTCGTATCATCTAGTTCCCTGATTCTCCTATCAAGAATTGTGATTTTCCATTGCAACGTGTTGAGTGAACAGAGGGCCAGAGGGTGAACTGAATCTGAATCCCATCCCCCAACCTTTAGGGACCATACGAAATAACCCAAAATTGAACCCCAAAAATGCATTCCGCCAAGGTTTCGTTTGGATGATATTAACAACATTGAATCTTAGGGGGGAAGGGATTACTGAACTTGGAGGCTCAAATTGCTGAACGAAAAGCTTCAAATTGTCATTCATTTTGCACCGAAAATTGCTGAGACTTTATATTATCTCACCGCGCTGCGCCGGCGCAGTGAAAAAATGGTATCTCTCCTGTTGTGCCGCTCCGTTTGGATCATTTGGAAGCAGTTTCGGTTGGTTTCAACTATGGTTTCTGTTTGCAATCATGTCATGGCTTGCTGGAAAAATCACCATTTATAGCTGAATCAAAGGCCCCAGTGCTATAGGGTTTTCCAGCAAGCCATGTTTGATTAGCAAAGGGTATTTTTCTTGTCCGGGTGAAGCTGAGAGAACCCATCAACTAAGAAGTAAATCACCTTAAGAATTGAGAGGGATCATAGCTAAATTCAAACTAAGTCTATTATTTTGTGGGATGTAAGGTGCGAATGAGTCCGTTATAACACTATGTAAATACTGGACCTTCATAGTGTATCATACTCTAACTTAGAATCTACTTGTTCAAGGGAAAGCACCAAAAACATCAGACATCATCAGGCTGTCTTCTGCTGCCGATTCTTGCCAAACCTTCAAACTCCCGCGAGTACATCAGAACGACCCCACTACCATACTACCGCACTAAAATCACCGTTGACAGTTCAGGTCAGCAAGCTTCCCAAAATTGATGGCAAACTATACAGGAATCCCCTCGAGGGGCAAGAACATTTCCATAGAATTTGGGATCCAATGGGCCCCCAATGATGGGACCTAGTTCCCATCATTTTTGCATACTATTCCGGTTTCTTGTGCGAGTAGTGTATGGGAGCAGTATGGGAATGGGAGTCCCATCATTAGGGGGTCGCCGCCCAAAAGGCCGTGTTGGAGACCGTCCCCTATGGCGATAGTGTCACTCCACTGCACTCCGAGGTTCGACGGAAATCGATTCGTTTGTTTTTGGGCTATGCTTAGTCATACTAGTCACCGTATACTGAGATTTAATGCATCAAAAAAAAAGTCGAAAACATGTTCTGCACCACCCAATATAGAAAAGTTGGAAGCAAATAAATGGAAGAAACTTCACCTATATCATATTTCTGGTTAGTGGTTTGGAACATTATTTTTCCCATTCAGTTGGGAATGTCATTATTCCAACTGACGAACTCATATTTTTCAGAGGGGTAGGGCTCAACCACCAACCAGATATTTACATCACTACATATCCATATGTCTGGAGATGTCTGACAAAAGCTTAAGGGTCAGAACTGGATCAACAGCCAGGCTGGCTGAATCAGGGCCAAGTCATCTCCGAAAAAAGAGGCAACAGCAAATATACACTTGTGAGTTGTGATATATCATGATACGGTAAACCATATATATATAGTTATAGTTACGTTTGTTAGATTGTAAATACATCATAAATACCATAGTACAGTATAATAATAGTATAGATATATTCAAGATAATGCTTCTTAGAAAGTTACTTGTTAATGGCCAGTCAAATGGCCCTAAAAGGCTGAATCCTCAGATGGCTAAGTGGGATAATTTTATGGCCACACGGGCCACATGTCAACATTAATGTGATACCCCTCCGGTAATCAGTCACATGGCTTGCTAAAGGAATCCTCAGATGATTTTCCCAGCTATAAGCCTCATTTATTTGGGGGATTTCTCATTGCCATCCTCGAGTGTATATTGATTTAGTTGGGCTCTCAGCATGATCAAATGGTAGCCTTAGGAATTATAGCAACACCGTAATCCCCCAAAAAGATGGGAAAGTGATTTATGATATCAATTGATATCATGTCACTATATTTTCACTTGGCTTCACTCCATGTTTGTGAAAGTTACTATAAACCATGGAAAAATACCAGGGATTTTGCCCACCAGCTTGGCAGCCAGCTGGGAGGCTGCACTGGATGCCTTTCTCCGGTTGCATCCACATGGCTCTTCCAAGTGGCATTGCTAGTGGGGCGTGGCTTTGGAGGGGTCAGAATTCCCGCCTTTTATGTGTATATATATATATATTATATATATTCCCCTGCAAATTTAAGCTACAAAGATATATATGGTTGCGGACGCCCTCCCAAGGGCACGCACGGGCACAACCTTTTCCCTCGAGCATGGAAATGTTCCCTAGGTCGGCAAGCTGAGCAGTTGTCACACTGATAAGAACAGATGGAACTGATTGGCTGCTGGCTGAATTCACACTGCTTATAATCTTCTAAAATTGGTTGAAAATGCAGAATGATTGGAAGCTATCCGAGCTTCATAGGCCAGTATCACTTTTTGAACTCTCGGATCTTGCCATCAGCAAAATGAGACACGCCAGCATCCACTCCATGAACTTCCAAATGAAACATCTTGACAAAATCACGAAGATCTTTGAGCTGGGCCGTAGATTTCTCATTCGTGTGGCTGAGGATCCACTTGACATATCCAGTCTTGTTCACATCAGTGTCGGTCACCAAATCAAAATAAGAAATCTTTTCCTTGTCGAACTTGCCAAACGAAATAAGTGTCTGGCTCCAGACTTTCATCGAAGGAACTCCAGGAGGCAAATTGCCAACCGCACGAATCTCCAAACGCGTCCAGAGGTCATGGGGCATACGCTGCATCTCCTTGGGCTTCAACGCCGTATCATCAGAAGGGGTTGGCGAAGACAAGCGACGCTTGCTGCCATCAGTCATCACACCATTGGTCACAACAGCCCAAGACGGATCTGACTCAGTCGAGCCTTCAGGACATTCCTGCGAAAGATTCTGCAAAGCCAGATTTAGCACACCAGACTGATTGGCGGCACGGAGCACACTCATGACAAAGGCTAGGTCAACGGAATGGGACATGTCGTCCGCTACAACGCAAAGAGATTGGTGGAAAAACCGTCACAACTGCTTCTAGGCTTGAGAAAGACCACTCACATACCCAGGCTGCAAGAAGGCTTATAATTGACTTATCTCTATATTCTACAAGAATATACCCTTGAAAACTGTACACAAAACTGCTGACTCAGGAAAGGTCAGTTGCTGGTAGCGGAGTTGCATGTTGAGTCTGCTGACGAGACAAGCGCCTTCGTTTTCTTCAGCTTGCATCTCAAGTACATCAGATTCAGGCGACACTTGATAGCTAGAGGTACGAATGCAAGATCTCAAAAGATCGATTGGATCTCCAGCGTCTTTGGTCAAACCATCAGCTAACATACGATTCGTTGGGACCCAACGCACGGTCATGGCACAGGCTTTCAAACTTTCACGGATTATGGTGATATCTATACTGGTTCGTCTGTCTTCTACTGCAGTGGGGCTAGAAGGACTATTCAAATGATCGTACAGGGATTTGCAGTCGGTGATGACAATAGGTGGTCGTTTCTGCATCACATTTCTACAGGACCTGAGATCAAAAGGGCCTTCTAACAGTTCACTCACAATAAGAGAAAGCCATTCCACTGTACCCGTTGCAACGGCCATGGATTGAGCTTCTGCGGCCAACGTCGAATTCACTGCACGTGACAACTTGAAACTTCTCCAAACCACAGGATTCCAATGAGCCATAACAGAGTCATTCAAAGCTTTGTCAGTAAAGGCAATGACAAAACCCGCTTGAGTATGGTCACCAACATTTGCAAAAGCTGCATCGGAATGACATACAACTGTTAAGTTCTGCACTGGAATAGGTTTGAAAGTAATATTCAAATCACTGAATTGACGAGCTCTGCGAACAATGTTATTTGCCTGTCGCAGGTGTTTGACTTTGGGACAGGGAAAACATTGTTGGCTCAGGCTGGTCTGAACGGACAAATCAGGTCGAGATTGAGAAGCCAACCAATTCAAACTTCCATTGATAGCTCTAAGAACTTTTACTTGATGAGGCTCCAGCGGAGATTCTGAGTTCATGTTTTTAGTGATGTTGGCTGGTCGAATCTTTTCTGCTGATGTCCTCATGTTCATGTGAATTGTACCATCTTGATCCTGTGAATACATTGCGCCACAAAATTCACCGGAACGAACTCTCCATTTTCGAAAAGGAAAACGTTGTCGAAGTTGATCAATGGACTTTTGAAATAATTCACCAGAACCTCCCAAAGCCAAATCATCAACATGAACGCCCAGTATGCCACATAGATTGTTAGAGGTGTCACGCAGCTGATATAAACAAGAATCAAAACAACTGGGTTTCCATCCCAAGCTTCGAAGTTCTTTATCCAGAGTGCGATGCCATGAAGCTGGGGCATCGTTTTGCCCATAAATGTTTCCCAGAATTTCAATGACTGCTCCTGCGGGGACACCTGGGATGCCACCTGGTGGCTGATGAGCATACAAGGGTCTGAAACGTTGTTCCAATGGATCGGCTTCTAAGAAGGCACCTGTTACATCACCAAGCTGTAAAGTCCAATTCATTGAAGACAAAATCTGCATGATAGCCATTCTAACCATTTGACTCAGTGTTGGTGATTGAAGTCGGCCTTCTTGTGCTTTCACATCCAAATCGGGATCCAAATGTCCTTGCAAACACCATCGTCCTTTCACAGAAAAGGTGGATGGATCCTTGGGATCTATCTGACCACCTTCAACCAGAGCTTTCCTGACCAAAACGAATCGGCTGCCAATGAACCTGTGAGCAAACTTTTCCTTGATTTCCTGAGCTTTCTTTCCATAGTGAATCTTCAAAACATTTTGCTTGTTGCACAAAGTTTGCCATTCTTTTATTTTTCCTTCGTCAACCAACCTTTGAATGGCAGGTTCATTATTGCTATGAGGCAATTCTTTCGCCATCTTCTTTTTGATATATTCCGCAATGAGCACTTCCACAGACACCTGGTGTGTATTCAAAGA